GCATTTTCGTACATGGCTTAATAACATTAACAATACTAATATCTTCTAATAAATAAGCTTGAAACTGAAGCCCATCTGGAATTGGGTGATAATTTGTCGTTTTGGAGGCCACCCAGTTCCAAACCTTTGCTATCTTCATTTTTCATTTTTAACTTAATATATTTGAATTTTCTTTTTGCTTGGATTATTGGGGAAAACTTCTTCATTTTTCATTTTTAACTTAATATATTTGAATTTTCTTTTTGCTTGGATTATTGGGGAAAACTTCGGTCTAACTTAATCAAAACTAAATCAGGATGGAAATTTAGCTGGAGCTCACTGTTTACGGATATTGTCTTTTTTGGGTTTTCACTCCGGAGTTATATGGTCCTCTTTAGGCTTTCCCTCCAGATTTTAAAACGCGTCTGTTAGGAGGTTTCCACACCCTTATAAATGAGTGATGTATGATCTCACAATCCATCCCCTTTGAAGACCCAACATTCTCGTTGGCACTCGTTTCTCTCTTTCAATTGATGTGGATCTCACAACCCTCTTCAGGGCCCATAGTCTTTATTGGCATTCCATTCAGTATCTAGCTCTAATATCAATTTTAACCGCCCAAGCCCTACAATGTCCTCGCTAGCACACCGCTCAATATTTAGCTTTTGTAATAGTCGAAACCCACCTTTAATAGATATTGTACTTTTAAACTGTTTTCACATTTTATAAAAAAAAGGTCACATTAGAAGACGGGAATGACAGGTGGTTAAGAACTTGTTTGAATACATAGAATCACTTTTCAAACACCATTAGAAGACGGGAATGACAGGTGGTTAAGAACTTGTTTGAATACATAGAATCACTTTTCAAACACTTGAAAGGCTATTCAAAATTAGCCATTAATTGATTTGCTTATCTGGTCAATAAGGCATCAAGGTTTAGATTTTGATTAGGTGAAAAACCCAACTGGGATTGCCCACAATACAAATAGTCATTGACATTGGTTTAGATTTTGATTAGGTGAAAAACCCAACTGGGATTGCCCACAATACAAATAGTCATTGACATTGACAGATGAAGATGACATCTCCTTTGTTATATAGCCTGCAGTATTATTTGAAAAAAACGTTGAAAAGTTCTTCTCAACTTTTCAAACACAAGGATTTGTCTTTTGATGCTCAAAAATTCATTTCAATACTTGCTAGCTGCTTCAGATGATCCTCTAATTGTCTTGCTTTTGAATGGTAAAAGTTGTTGTGATCTACTTGCTAGCTGCTTCAGATGATCCTCTAATTGTCTTGCTTTTGAATGGTAAAAGTTGTTGTGATCTGTTCAACGAGTTTAAAAGTCAAATTAGACGGTTAATGATGACTCTATGTAACGATTCAAGTCCACCGCTAACAAATATTGTCTTCATTGGACTTTCCCTTTCAAGTTTCCTCTCAATATTTCTAAAACGCGTCTGCTAAAGAGAGATTTCCACACTCTTATGAAAAATGCTTCATTCCCATCTCCAACTGATGTGGAATCTCACAATCCACCCTCTTTGGAGGCCCAGTGTCACGATCATGCTTGTTAACGGCGATTGTGACACATCTCACAATCCACCCTCTTTGGAGGCCCAGTGTCACGATCATGCTTGTTAACGGCGATTGTGACACCCAACATCTTTGCTGGCACACCGCTCAATGCCTGGTTCTGATATTATTTATAACAGCTCAAGCCCACCGCAAGTAGATATTGTCTTCCTTTCGGGCTTCCCATCAAAGTTTTTAAAACACATCTGCTGGGGAGAGGTTTTCACACCCTTATAAAGGATGCTTTGTTCTCCTCAAGGTGCTTTGTTCTCCTCTTCACCGAACGTGGGACCTCAAAAATTAGTTTCACTTTTCTCGGTCTTCACTTGCTTTTATTTTGTCTTATAAATGATATGAACATTAGAACAAGTCTTGAGCTTTCTCGGTCTTCACTTGCTTTTATTTTGTCTTATAAATGATATGAACATTAGAACAAGTCTTGAGCTGAAAAGTAAGACTTCAAAGTTGATTTCATATTATGCACAAGTTTCTTTTTGTACAGCTATTCATTCAATGCTGAATTTTGAGTTGGGATATCACTATAGGTTTCAATAGAGTATGGACTGTGTGAGATCATTCAATGCTGAATTTTGAGTTGGGATATCACTATAGGTTTCAATAGAGTATGGACTGTGTGAGATGCTAACCAATGAAGCAATCAGGCCTAATGTTGAACCAAAGGATAGGAACTGGGATTTCAATATCCCTCAGCTTGAAGCCATTTTACCCGTCGGGACGGTTGACCATTCTATAGAACGTGTCTATAAAGAGGTACATAAACAAAATCATTATCAAACGAAGCTTCAATCCGTTTAAGTAAACGATGTTTCTCGAAAACTTCAGATGCTTCCATGGGAAGGATCAGCAGCAGTTACTCATCGTCGGTACGTCCAACTATTCCATACGCTTGCCGATAAATACCCAACGGAGAACTTGCTACTTGTCACACATGGTACGTAGTATTTTCAATTGCTGTCATAACTCGTCCGTCGTCCTTATAGATTTCCCTTATGACATTGTTTGTTCATCGTGTGTTTTTAGGCGAAGCGGTCGGAGTTGCAGTTTCGACGTTCATGGAAGATGTACTCGTATATGGAGTCGAGTACTGTGCATTTGTTCAGCTGCAAAGACCTGTTTTTCGGAGAGGCGATTCGTATGTGTTCGGAAAATTTGAGGTGAAACTGAGGAATGATGGGAAAGATGGAATCAAACACATGCCAAAGCCAGAAAAAGAATGAGATCATCATATGTTTCATTGGGAATAAACTGCCAGACTCTTTCTATTATTTGCTTATGCTTTGGTTCTGTGATGCATTGGATGATTAAGATCTCTCTTTTTTTGTGTTTCTTTGAATAAATGAGTCTGGATTGTTGATTTTGTTATGAACAGTGATGATATGATACTGATTATTGTGAAGGAGAGTAAAAGAAAGTGATATGATACTCATTGTTTTCCAAATGCTTATGTCTCAGTTCATGTTAGTGTAACAATTGGCTTTGGGAGTGAAAGCAGACTCAAGTAGAGCTATAGGTGAGGCATTATTGCAATGAGACTTAATATGATGTAGCATTTGATCGAACGAGTACGATCGCCTCATGGATATTGATTGTCTTGTTGATTGAATATCTCAAGTTAAGTTAACTTGTTTGATATTTGAATCACTCCACTAGAACGATGGATCGAGTTATGCTTTGTGAGATTCCACGTCGATTGGAGAGGGAAACAAAGTGTTTCTTATAAAGGTGTGAAAATTACTAAGTGTTTCTTATAAGGGTGTGAAAACCTCTCTCTTGTAGATGTATTTTAAAACCTTGAAGGGAAAGCCCAAAAAGTATAATATCTGCTAACCATGAGCTTGGACTATTATAATTGTTATCAAATACCAAGCAGTGCGCCAACAAGGACATTGGGCCCCAAGGAGAGTGAATTGTGAGATCTCACATCGGTTTAGAGTTTAGGGCTCTAGTCATATGAAATTTTGTCATATTTTTTATAAGTCTCATGTCAGTATGTAGCGATTTATGGCTCGAGTCTCTCAAAAAGCAAAACATTGTACTTGGGTTTTACTTTATTTTTCTTACGTTGTGACTTCAATACGTTGTGACTTCCACACGTAAATCGATAAGGTGGTGACCCTTAAATGGCGTTGATCCGACCATGTAAGGGCCAAGACAGACAGTGTCATCATGGAATCGAGGAGGATGGTGCACCATCCAACACACTAAGAAGAGTGCATTAAAGCCAAGTTGAGGCATAAGTGAGGTTAGAGAGAACGAGTCAACACAATTGTAGAAGACAAGCTCGGAGAGAGCATGGTAGAGTACTGTATGATCACTAACCAAAATCACGACTACTCTAGAAATATTAGGAATGCCTCAAAATGTACTATAGGGGAAACATGGTGTTAGCTCTCCACCACCCTTAGGTCATGTGACACATACATGTGTCACAATGTGGGAGAGCATTGCGAGACAAGCGTCTCTGATGTCTTCCTTTGAAATGAGTTTTTCAAGTATAGTGACAAGCATCACAGGTGTGCCGACGTTGCACTCTAGCTCATGTGTTGGAGGTTAGTATATGCACCCACCATTTGGCACATAGTCCATAAATGACATGACATGAACACGGGATGGTTTAAGTCCCAATGAGAACCAGAATGGATGGATGTTCGAGATATCCCAATGAGATGAACGACACATGGGTTAGGACTGTAAACATGTTTGAGCAAGCTAAGAGGGTCAAGTCGTCCCGAGATATGGGTTGACATCACAATGTATGGGTCATGTTATATGGAACCAAGATGATGACTGAGATGCGACGTTATAGATGAGAGATGGCTTAGAGTAGAGGCAAGATCGAGTCGAATGACTTAACCTAGTGTAAGGACAAGTCGACTAGAGCCATAAACAATTGAATATGCACGCACAAATAGCATGTGTGGCCGAACAACCTTGAATTCCGCACGAGTTTTGTTTGGTTGGCAAAGGAGAACCTCACCTAAGATTCAACGAAGCCATGAAGACGGTCAAAGAATGTGAATGAGTCGTAAGTTCTCCTTAAGGCTTATCATGAGCATGTCAAGATCATAATGTTGCACGGTTGAAAATATACAACCATAAGACATAATACTTCTCTCCACACGGATCAAGCATGTGATCATGAACTAACTAGATACACTCCACTCCTTAACGTACTCCCTAGGTCAAATGATGGGCTAGCATGCTCACAATGTTGAAACTAATGGAAAGGAAAGGAACGTATAATAATTTGTTGGAAAAGTAATTCATAATCACATTACATATCTCATGTATGAGGTTCCACATTAAAAATGTAGTTCAATAAGAGGATACACATAATACTATTTTCATACTTATCATGACAAAAATTTCTTACGAGACTGTAGATATATATTCATAACTTTTCATTCATATTTTTAACATATGATACATGATATATGACGATGGTGTCTCACATGTCATAAGCTAATCATAATCAGAGTATATGTTTAACAAACTTATTAAGAATACCATTTAGAAATATAATCTATAAAATTTGGCAGTAATGTTGTTTAAGAAATCTTTATTTATGCACATTCTTCCTCAAAACTGAAGTTCATCACTCAAGCTCCACCTGCACTTGAAAAAAACAATCTACCATCACCATCCATCTTTTAAACTATATTCCATGTTATAATCTATGATGATAGGTCCATCATTACATTCTCATGTTCTTGCATTTAATCTTAATAGTGAGATCACTTAATGAGTATTTTTTTTAAATATTCAAGCTACCGGCTACCTCTATTTCAGGTTAAGGCAAGACATTCTTGTATAATTGACGACGATATCGCAACTTGAGACCATGACCCATGTATAGAGTAGTTGTATTTATGAAAGTTTAAATGAAGTATTTCCACATTTAACGTTTCATAATATATATAGTGGCGACCTTAAATTAAATAGAAATTTTTGGTCGTTACACATAATATAATTTACCTCATTCAAGAGTGAGAGACGCTCCATTATTTTCCGATGTAAAACTAAGGATCATTGTGCTCGCCTTTACTACCCTGATACATTCATCAACATCTATGCACTTACACATAGAACACAATAATTTTTCAAGAACAAGAAGTTGTGAAGAACTGAGATGTTACCATTGTTGAGGATTTTGGTAGTCAGGTGCTGAATCGCCAAAGCTAATGTGAAGAACTGAGATGTTACCATTGTTGAGGATTTTGGTAGTCAGGTGCTGAATCGCCAAAGCTAATAGCAAGCATGTCTGTGTTCACAATACCAGGATCAAGTGCTATAATAGCCATTCCTTTAGGCAGCTCCAAAGCTATGGATTTGGTCAAGCCCTCAATTGCCCAGTTAGAGGCACTATAGGGAGAAAACTGTTCAAAATATGTCGAAGCATAAACTTGGCTTTAAACCCATTTTATACTTGTCAAAAAGCTACAAATTTTGGGTACCTACCATGGGAGCACCATCTCTTCCCCACATTGAATAGAAGTTAACGATAATTCCTTTTCCTCCTCGGATCATAAGAGGAATGAAATGCCGAAGAACATTTGCTGTCCCTTTTACATTCGTAT